GCGCTCGCTGCCTTGCGCGCACACGCGCAGAGCCTGCTGGAGCTGCCGATTCGGCCCTGCGACGCCAGCGACGGCGCACAGCTGCCGCTCGGAGAGCTCCCGGCGGAGCCGCCGTAGGAGTCCTGTAGCTGGCAGCTAGCTCCGCCGACGCACAGGCGGACCAGTCGGAAAAAAAAACGCATTGATGTTTCTAAAATGCTTTGGAAGCATTGCAAATGAAAGCCCAAGTCTGCTTTCACTGCGTCCGAGGTTGCCGTGGACAACATACACCCAAGCCATTTGTGGCACCATTCCCGTTCCAAGACTTGTATCGGATCTGCTCCAGGGATAAACAAGCATGAAGGTGGTTGTGCTTCTGTTGTCAACACCTTCGTTTTGCTCGCATTCAGGATTAAACCAACTTGCCGAAAATCCCGCATCAACCAATTTGTAGCAAGGTTACGGCTTCGTGCGCTGATTTTGCAAACGGTGGATATCATCAGCTCTCCATTTGCGCATCACGTGTTGTACGGCACTGCAAAATAACTTGGGACTCAACACGCAGCCTTGCCGAACACTTGCATGAATATTGAAATCTCTGCGGTGTCCAGACTGCCTAATCAGTTGACCTTGCTGATCACAATACAATGCTGCATTGCTCCAACGCAAGTGTGCTGAAATTCCCTGGTCAGCAAGCGCTTCCCATAACATGTCCCAATCAATCCGGTCGAATGCCTTTGATAAGTCAAGGCTGACAGTCCACACCGGCAGATTTGCTGCTTCCGTTTTGTCCACCACATACCTCGCCGTGAGGAGGTGCTCTTCAATGCGGCGGTGTTTTCGAAAACCATGTTGTTCAGGCTGTGCATTGTCCAACGTGTCCTCGATGTTTGCGATAACCATGTACGCAAAAAGTTTGTACAGAACCCGAACATTTGCAATCGGACGAAAATCTGTGTGCTCTTCGCCCACGACGACGTCGGCAACATCGTAAACAATGTGCGGCTCCATGTGGATGGCACGTCGCCAGATTGTAGAACATGGTTGTACAATGTTGTACAATTGTAACAGGCAACACATGAAACCGTCGGAGCTGAAAAAAAAGCTGTAATGTACTAGTTCTTGCAACCAGTCCTACTTCATCGCACGCTTTGTCGGCATGCTTCAATTCATCACGTGTAAACGGAACTTCGTCCAACAGACGCGGTTTCGTGGGAGCATGAGGATCGCTAGCACACAAATTTTCCAGCATGTCCGCAAAATCATCTGCAACAGGTTGACCGCGAGATGCCGTGATGAAGCTTTTGATGGTGGACAACTTCTTGGTCGTGTGCTCGCCAAAGATTTTGCGTCGCAGTTCCAGGAAGCGTGCATGCCACATCCGTACGGCCTCAGCACCCGTACCGGCACCGAAGCCGTCAGTCGCCTGCTCCGCGCTGCCACCGAAGCATGCCCACGCGCTACCATTCTCTCCGTTGACGCCGTTGGCGCATTCGATCATGTTTCGCGAGGCGCGATGCTCGGGGCCCTGCACGCCCGTCGCGAGCTCCACTCCTTCCTCCCTTCGCTCGGCAGTTTTACTCCTCCCCAAGCGTATATATACATGGTGGGATGACGACATATGACGACGGCTGCGCGCATGATGTGGGCCAGGGAGAAGGTGGTGAGCAGGGCGACCCCTTAATGCCCGCATTCTACGCCCTAGCGCAGCACGACACGCTCTGTGACTTGCAGCGTCAACTCGGCGACGGCGAGGCCGTTTTCGCCTTCTTTGATGACGTCTACATCATCGCCTTGCCGGAGTGGATCCGTGCGCTCTACGATGCCCTCAGCGCTGCCCTGTGGGGCCGCGCGCAAATCTGCCTCCACGAGGGCAAAACTCGCATTTGGAACGCCGCCGGCAGTGACGTCGGCTTCCAAGCTAGCACGTGGTGCGGCCGCGGTGGCGAGCGGGGCGCCAACCAAAGTGTTCCATCGTGCAGCGAGGAAACGCGTAAGTGTTGCAAGAAAGCCTCGTGGCCGACCATGCCCGGTTCGCGAGCGCGCTGGAGCAGGCAGCGCGGTGCGAGTCAATGTGCGAGTCCAATGCCACGTGTGTATGCTTCCCGTGGAGCATGTAGTACGAGGACGAAAGCTTGTCGTGGGCCACCGGCACATTTTGCATGGCAGGTACGGGCGTGCCGTACTCAGCAGCGAGGTCGACACAATCGAGACTGGACCACGCAGAAGCCGGGAGGCCCGCAAGGGCGGTGTCGTCGAGGCGGTTTGCGAAGGTGTGGTCGCCTTGCGCGGTGACTGGCTGTTGTCGGCTATGCTGGCACGGCCAGTGGAGCGGGCACGTTTCCGCAGAGCATGCGGAGCCTTTTGTCTGAGACGTAGAACGTTGCCTGCCCTGTGCGAGACATCGCCCCTGGGGTTACTCGGCAGCTTCGGCTGTGCCCTGTTCTTGCCTCACGCAACCCTGCCTTTGCTGCATGTAGAGTGCGAGTCCCGTCCGGTGAGCTCGCCCCTGCTTGTTTGCGGGCGGCGGCCAACAGCCCCCGGCCTGGGATGAACCGGTCGCGCGGGGACGCGAATTGAACATCGAGCTCGGTGAGTGGAGATATGGATGGCAGCGCCGTGCGTCGCGTACTCGCACTTTTTTCTTCCGCGACCACGTGCTGTTGCCCTCAATGCCTCCGGCCTCCCGTGCGACGATGCTGCGCTTGCGAGCCTGCGTGCGGGTGCTTGGTTGCCATCCCAAGCGACCCTCACACGTCGCTCGCCCCGGACGTCATGCAGATAGCACTCCGCCGCAGGCTACGGCTGGCTCCCGCTGCCACATCACTTGTGGTGACCGCGGCGTGCCTGACGCTGCCTGCAGCGTTCGGACGCACTCGGTGACCACCCCCTTGCGTGCTCTCGCACGGGCCTGCTTGCCCGACGAGCAAAAGTCGTCGAGAGGGCGAGGCCCGTGAAGCCGTTGGTCCGGGCATGTGGTGCTTCAGCAATGGCTCGCACACAGCACCGTGGCTGGCGTCGCTTCAGATGACCGCCGTCGGCTCGACTCTGTGACGCACGGGGCGACGCCTCCATTGAGAAAAGGGGGAAAAAATACATTAGGCCATTAGGCTGGGGATATCCCTTTCAAAGGTCGACGCGCCATTTTGGCCCAGCAGAAGGGTGAGCAAGCGTCCTGTATTGCGGCCGAATATAATCACGGTATTCCGACAGCAGCAACGGCACGCAACGTCACATAAAGAGACGCAGCGGAAACATGCCACTCATGTCAGCTGGCATCACCCACAAGAGCAGCGGGCCCCAATAAGCCCGCCCTTCTTCCGCCCACCGAAGGTCATCGCCAGCAGCGCCATCCAAGCAGGCAAGTCAGACACGGCTCAATGGCCTCACGACATTCTCGGAGCGAGGTGCCGCCCACGCCACCAGTCGCAGGAAAGGGGGCCGATTGGCGGAGGTTGTCCCAACGTGCTGGTGCGACGAAAGCGATTGTCATGCACACGACACCAATGCTGCTCGATAGAAGCGTCGGCAGTCCATGATGCTCGCGTGTCGGGCGAGACCATGCCAGCTGCACTGAGCAGCACAGGCACGTAGATGCGCGACTTGGTATGTTGAGTCAACGGGCTGGTATTTGGGACAGATCCGTGACGACATGGTGGGCGGGGTGCGCTGCATTGACCTCGGGTTGGTAGCTGAGTGAGCAGCAACTTGAAGTGTCAGTGTGCGTGTTCCCGCAGTCGGGCAGCGTGTTGGCTCATGTCCACCTCCCACAGCATGGGCATGCTGCCCCGCGCTGGGGCAACGTACGCAGAGCCGTACTGCTGTTCACCTTGCAATCCCCCCAATGCACGCGATATTCAGGCAGCCTACCAAACCCGACGCGGGCTCAACCAAGCGGCTCATGAGACTAATCTTCGGCATCGGCGACCTCCAGAGCATTTGGCCTCCGGAACCCCAGACTTGGATGTCTTCGCGCCGATGCCATCACCACAAGCGCCCCCCTCTCTGACAGTGCCGCCGGCCCACCTGTTGTCTCGGATCCTCATCAATGTCCGCGCCATGCATGTGTAACACTGCGAGATTGTTGCGCAGTAGCACCGAGCACCCTCCACCGCAGTTCTTGGCTCATGCTGCTCATAGAAGCCATGGGAGCGCAGCACGTCGAAGAGCGATGCTGCGCGAGAACCACGTGATGTTTAGGACTCGCGTGCTTTGTGTTTGCGCTTGTGGCGTTCTCGCTCTGGCATGCACGCGCGATGCTCGGAGAGTTTGCCGGTTGTGTTCTCATTTTGCGCGGTCTGCATGGCATGGTTAATAGCAAAGTGTTTTTCGAGGCCCCCCAACTGTTGCGACGGCTTCGAGCTGGTAGCAACCGAGCACCTTGGCTGCACAACTTCGCTATTTTTGTCACATCGTGACATAGACTGGCAGTCTCGACTGAATGTTGACCTCAGGTGTGTGGAATGTTCCGGCCTCAGAGAGGCGACAGCTCGTGTTCAGCGATTTTTTCTTTGTGCCTGCAGGCAGTGTGGGGCGATATTGGCGAGACGGAAGTTGCGTGGTCTGTCCTGCCGGGACTTATGCAGACACAGTTGCGTCTTTGACTTGTGCAGAGTGTCCAGCTGGGAAATATTTGGCGGATGACGGCGTAGAGTGGCGGTTGCACACCCTTGAAGCGGTCTGTTCGCCATGCCCGCTGGGAACTTTCTCGAATCGCACAGGGGTATCAGCTTGCGAAGACTGCCCCGCGGGCAAATTCGTGGCTTCGCAAGGTAACACGGCATGTCAAACTTGCAAGAGAGGGGTCGCCCTCGCGCCAGGGGCGATTCAATGCGAGCCTTGTTCGACAGGACAAGGCCCCAGCTCCAATCGCGATTCTTGCGAGGATTGCGAATCTGGCCGTTACAGCACCGCAGGGCTTGTGTGCGATTTATGTGCATCTGGCAAGTCGACGTCGCCGTTTGGTGATGATGGAGTGGGTGGCTACGGTGGATACGGTGGAGGCGATAGTGGAGGATATGGCGGTGGCGGTGGCGGCTGTCAGGACTGTTTCTCTGGACGGTATTCAAGCACGGATCGTAAAGAGTGTCTCGTTTGTCCTAATGGAACATATAGCCAGGATATGGGAGCAGGAAGCTGTGATCGGTGCCAGAGAGGTAAGGTTCCGGATCTATACAAAACGTATTGCCAGAACTGTCAGCCAGGCACTTTCTCTTTGAGCGGGGATGACTCTTGCACCAATTGCCCAGGTGGCAGATACTCACAGAACGAGGGAAGTTTCCAATGTACACAATGCGATCTCGGCAAGGTGGCTCCTGCTGGATATGTGCAATGTGATTACTGCTATCCCGGACATATAGCCAATGCTGCACAGGACGACTGCGAACCGTGCGCGGCAGGGACGTACAAGAACCAAGAGAGTGACACTTCATGCACCAGCTGTGCCGACGGCGAAGTGTCAGAAGCAGGTGGAGACTGCATGCAATGTCCGCAAGGCAAGTATGCAAACTCGAATCACACAGACTGCGAACAATGTGCGGCTGGAACGGTTACTTTGACCTTTGGCAAGTCGGAATGCGAGGCTTGCCCGACTGGCACGGTCGCCGCCAGTAGCACTTTCGATTATTTCGGGCCCCCTAACTGGATTCACAGGCAGATGTCCTGTGATAACTGCATCTGCGAGCCTTGCCCTCCCGGCAATGTCCCAAATTCAAACGGAACTTGCACGGAGTGCGAGGCGGGCAAGTATGCCGGAGCTGAAAACGACGCAGCCAAATGCATAGCTTGTCCGTCGGGGACGTATTCGAACGTGACTGGTTTATCCTGGGAAGGCGGTTGCTTGGAGTGCCCTGGGAAAACTACCCCCTCTGATGGTGCGACGAGTATCGACATGTGCATTCAACCGGGCATCAACCAGTCGTTTCAATGTGTTCGCGGCAAAGTTTGTGCCATCTCTGGTTTTGAGGGCGTGGGTCTGGTAGACAGTCACCAAATGGCTGTCAAGATGGAAGCTTGTCTATTGCCACAGCCGGATCCGCCGGAGCCCCCAGGTGGGCCGGATCCTGGCGGTAGTTACGGTGGTGGTGACGGTGGTGACAGCGGTGGTGGCGGTGGTTACGGCGGTGGTTACGGGCCGGGTTCTGGCGGTGGTTACGGCGGTGGTTACGGCAGTGGGCCGGGTTCTGGCGGTAGTTACGGCGGTGGTTCTGGTACTGGTGGTGCATATGGCGGTGGTGATGGCAGTGGGTCGGGTTCTGGCGGTGCTTATGGCGGTGGTGATGGCAGTGGGCCGGGTTATGGTGCTTACGGCGGTGGTGATGGCAGTGGGTCGGGTTCTGGCGGTGCTTATGGCGGTGGTGATGGCAGTGGGCCGGATACTGGCGGTGCTTACGGCGGTGGTGATGGCAGTGGGCCGGGTTCTGGCGGTGCTTATGGCGGTGGTGATGGCAGTGGGCCGGATACTGGCGGTGCTTACGGCGGTGGTTACGGCAGTGGGCCGGGTTCTGGCGGTGCTTATGGCGGTGGTGATGGCAGTGGGCCGGATACTGGCGGTGCTTACGGCGGTGGTTCTGGCAGT